CTTGTCTGTGAAAGCCTAAGGTACCCGTAGTGCAGGTGCTATGCTTTTCCGTGGCAAGTAGGTACGATATTCGTATTCAGGGATCAAACTACCCCTAAAACGAGTTTCTTGCCAAACCTGAGGTCATGAACTAATTGAGAAAAAGCGGAGCAGTGATGGGATTACCACTCCTCAAACTCCACTTTTTTGGGTTGACCAATCATGGACGACGGGGAAAGGGGAGAGAAGGTGTTGTATTAGGAAATAATGCTTTGCAGATCTTTGGATGATGCGGGCAAGCCAGACACAATTTTTGTCTATTATGAAAAGTGTTTAAAAGGTTTATTCTACCCAAGTGCCAGCCTTTTGTAATGGATTGGTGGATCGGTGAGTAAGTGACTGCCCAAATTTTCGAGGTTAGGTCAAAATTTCAGAATTCGCTAGAAGTTTGCTCAAAGGGAGAGTCTGGCTCCCTGATTACGAATATCATACTTGTTCGAAGCAAAAATGCCTGGCGCCTGCGCTACAAGCGCCCAAAGTAGTGAGGAGCGATGCCGCCCAAGTTCGTTATTAATTGCCCTTAAATTCTTTGTACTTTAACTATACGCAAGCATGTTGGACTAGCGATGTTAGGAATCTTCCTAGCTATCTTACTGCAAACGGCAAAAGAACAAACTCGCCAGGGAGTCGATCCCCTGACCTCTTTTTCGTGAGCCTCGACCACAGCCCCTGCGCTTTTCTGCTTCATAATTCCTTTCAGAGAAGAGTTCAGCAGATAAGGAACACATATTTGAGCTCAGCGTCCCAAGGCGCGTATACACATATACATCTCATTTCAAATGGCCGGGTTGACCAAATGACCTTTCCTGGTTAGACTTCGGTTGTTTTGCGATGTCACAGCAATTTGGACACTTAAATTATTTGCGAACATAAACCATAAACCCGTGGGAAACTTTACTACAGCAGTAATCGCTGACATACATGTAGGACAACGCATGGTGACAGCCTTGAAGAAACTAGGTCCACGCGTGTTTTTAATGCTCTTAATGCTATAAAGGAAATAAATATAAGTAAATATAATGAAAGAAACGGACTGTTTTAATTGTTTGGTTTATAATGTTTTTCTTTCATAATCGCACCATATTAGTGCATGAGTGAAAAGGTTAATGTCCCGCAGACCCCCTAAGTTCACATTTGTGACATGTCATGCCGCGCTAAAATCGTGTTTATCTTTCAGGATGCTACACCAAAACTTATGGTGACTTGTGAAGGTTCGAAAGATTCCGTATTTCGTGATCGCATAGCGAATGTTCTGGATGAGAACTTATTATCGAAGGAGACTAGAGAAGCTAAGGCTATGCTGGACATCGAACACGTGGACAGCAGCGATGTGGCGTGTGTATGTTACACTTCGGGTACAACAGGTAAATTTCTCGTGTTTCTGTGGTTTTAGCGACTATTGGTACGCAACACACCGATTGACCCCGCCTATGCTACTGTTGGAACAGGGTTATGGTTCCATGGAAGTTTTCAGTGAGCTTCCTATTTTATCTAGACAGCTGCATATGCGATCTCCTGAATACCATTAGTTCGTTTTCCAAGTGGATAAGAGTGTTGAGCTCATTAACGTAAACATTTCGACAGACTAGCCTCAGAAGGGGAGAGGGGGAGGGGTGGGGAGGAAATGGGAGCGGTACCCTTGACCCGTTGTCGCGAATTTGCGTTCGCGTAACTTTTACTATTCTAACTAAACTTCTTTTAATCGTTGTACTAGTAGCGCTCAGGCTTTATCTGTCGTATGAGGTATGCACAGCATAGGGAGTTACGCACCACAGCAATTGCTGCTGACAGTGTAGCGCCACCGTAGCCTCTAAGGAGTTCTATCTGCCTCGGGCTCACTACAAGAGCACGGCTGCCAGGTTTCTGGAAATGCAGCTCTCTTGTTGGTTAAATTTTCAGGCTTTTCTCATCCAAGAAGGTGCTCTGTTACGAAGTGAATCACATATTAGTTTCATATCAGAACGAAAGTATTCATTAGGTCTGCCGAAGGGTGCAATGCTGACCCATGGTTCGTTGTCATCAAACGCTGAGGCTCTCGTTGATGCATGGAGGTTCACCGAAAACGACAGGTATGCATTCACAGTAATTTGAAATGCCACCTAAGACCCAATCCGAGCACTTGGTGATGATTGTATGAAAACTGAAATTTGGATACGGTCCAAATTCGTCTTGTTTCAATTCATTATGACGAACGCGCTGCAACCACACGGTTCTTTGGTTGTTACTTTAGTACGGCAATCTGAACGAGTCAAATAACCCACATTACTAACCTTTCCGGAATAATGTGTTACAGAGCTTGTTCTGATCAGGGAATGCTCTCAACTTCCCAATGAACTTTAGATAGAGACCTAAGTAGATGAATGAGCATTACAATACAAGTCACAGAGATTGAAAGTGAAAGCTGCTTTGTGAACTCTTCAGTCGAGTTGTGAGTAGTCAAAGTTGGCAAGAAATGATGCAAAAAAGGGTATTGGCGTCGAAATGGCGCAGATGAGCCCCGGCAAACAATGAATGTTACCTCCGTCATCAGGCCACCATTTCACACCTATAAGCACGGGGGAGGCGGGCAAAAAAGCCGCTCTGCCCATGGCTCAAATCAGCAAACTTTTCGTCGCGCATGTTGCAACCGTTGATTCAATTTTATGGCAAAATATTCCTCAGATTTTCTTCTATAACTAGGAGCACGTCCTCTTCACTGCCCTCACCGTCTTGAAAATGTGAGCCATCACCGTCAGGCTCAAGGAGGTCTACCGTAATCGCTTCAGTCCGAAGCTGCTGCGTAATTTCTTCGATCGGTGGAAATTTTTCTAAAGACTGTAGTTCTGCATATGCAAGACCCCTTCCAGCCAGCTTTTTCGATATCGTTGTAATGGTCTACTATCCGCCGAGGACCTCGTTACCGGAGCGCGAGGACCTCGTTGAGCTTGAAGAGCACCATGTTTCCTGGAAAAGGGAAAACTCCTTTGAATCTGGTGTAGAAGGCAGTTGTGAAGCCTTTTTATAGAATGGGATGTGCTTTCAATTTCCAGTTGAGAGCATCTGGTTTGATTTTAACAAAGTGTATATCAATCACATTTTGAAGTGGAGGGGTAGCGATTCCTGTTTTTGCCACCCCCCCCCCCCTCCTGTGCAAAGTTTGTAAAACGTCGATGAGGATGGATTAGCTTGGATTAGCTCCTACACTGACGATGCGTTTAGTGCCAACTTTGACCGCTCACAACTTGCTTGGGAAGTTCACGTAACTTTTGGATTCCCATATTTGCGACCACCATTCTTGACCGTTTGATTTACAAGTTTCCATCCAAGGTTCCATGGGGATTCGAAAGCCTCCCATGGTGAGAGATATCGTGCGCATTACAGGTTGCTTCATATGCTGCCGTTTTACCATGTTCATGGCATGTTTATTTCGCTGAATTGTTCATTGTTTTCACACTCGACTGTAATCTGGAGAGATCGATTCTCGCTTGACGATTGCGTGAAATGGTTACCATCAACAACAGTGATGATGGGAGTACCAACTTACTACAGGTGATTCTTTCTGATTTCCTTTCTGTTCCAGAGAGATGAGACGGGAGTTAATTACTTAGCTGTTCTGCAGAAGCAATGACTCAGACACTCAAGCCTTGCCACACGACGAATGGTTTAGTGACATCCTGAGCATGTTGTGCTTCTCCCCCTCCTCCGTGTCAAATACTTGCGGGTATTTAAGCACCTAATTGTGAGGGAGAGCTTGCAGTGTGCGATCATAGCTAAACGTTTCTTTTCATATGTAGTTTTACGCAACTAGAGACAATGCACCTTTCAAAAGGAGGTTATGCGATAAGGTTGATGCTGAAGAAGCGGAAGTGCTCATCATAAAATGTGTAGATTTGGCCGCTCCGGGATCGTACGTGGCGCACTCGCCGGTAAGGAGATGCCCCTCGCTACGTAGCAAGGCTTTACCTATCTCCCCAGACGTCTTTGGTTTCGCCTGCCCACCGACTGGCTATCTCAGCTGCTGGTCCATCACCGTTAAACCCTAGCCGTTTCAGCAGAGAGGCGAAACACAGTCTTCACTCTGATGACGCAAGCACGTACTCACCGAACTTAAGGGATAGGACAAGGGCTCGTTTTGTTGGTTTTGAAACGCTGCCCTTATTTTTCTTCTCTGCTGCACCTCTTTGCAGTTTTGCTTTCATTCCCATCGGTACTCCATCTCTATCTTTATCGAAATCCTTGTCTGAGAATCCGCCTTTGTTCATTCTCTTGCGCATACCATACGTCAGCTCCATGGAATGTGAGAAATTATTTTTGTGCGAATTGGGTCTTTACAATGCCTTGCAATTACTGTCTAATATTTAAAGGCATTATTCCGATTATGCACGCTCACCTGTTCCATCCCGATCGTAGTAGACAGGCGGACAAGCGTTGATGTCGCGCCCCTTTTGCGGCTTGAAAGTGCGCGACAAAGGCGCTAAGAAGCTCGCTCGACCCGCAACTCACACCTTTGTCCGCAAGCCCCACCTCCCGCTGTCAGCTGCCACGCTGGCGCTGCGAGGAGGCGCGCTACGGTTGTGGCAGCGTTAGCATTGCGGCTTCCCTCCTCGCTTCCCTAGTGTGAATGGTCGTTGGACCCGGTTGTTCATCGCTCGAACAACGAGCTACTTTATCGCTTTTCACAGCGTGGAACAATTTCGCTGCTGAACCCAGGTCCACCTCTGATCGTGAATGGACCTAGGGTTGCCGCAGACAAAAGTTTTGCCCTGCGAAATGCGATGGAAACGTTTCCTCTATTAGCGACCCACACCCTTGCGACCCATTTGTGGGAGACCATTGGAAGAGGGCATATTGTCGGAAGGAAGGTAGAATATAAAAAAGCCAATATAATCAAAAAAAAAGAATAAAAAAGAAGAATGTAAGAAAAAAAGAAATCTCGCAGATCTTCATCATATGCGCCGGAATTGTACGATCATATATAATAGATTGCAAACGCATGGGGCCAACAATTGGCTCTGCCGCCGAGCTAGCCGTTTGTGAAACTCGTCCGAAGACTCCATTTCTCCATCCTAAGGTGAAAGTAGCTGAACGAGAGGGGGAGGCCTTGCTTGGGGTCTAATCAGAGGTTTCTTTTCCTTTCTTTTCTGGATTTCTCCCTACCTCCAGCTTGATTTTGAACGCTCTTCACACACCCAATTATCTCTGAGCTTGCCTTCCAGTTAGTTTTTTTTCTCTGCTAGCCAGTGATAGTGTCTAATAAGTGACCTCTGAGTTGGTTTCCCTACAGGTCCTGATCCTGCTGTCATACTGCTGTAGTACTAGCCCTTCGACCACACAAAAAGCGAAGGGTTCCAAGTCGCCATAACTAACCATCCGAGATGACATTTGTGCAACTGTATGCGTCGTGGAACGTTGATCTCGAATATGTCCTCCTTGCCTACTGAACGGCGCTTACGGGAAAACGAAGATAGTTCAGATGGGCACCTGTTCTTTGCTAACTTCCACAAACTCTTACCAGGAAGGTCTTTCAGGGCGTGACAAGCTTTTTGAAAACGGTCTTTTGCATGATATAGGGGCAGATGCGGGAACCACAGAACCATGTTTAATTTTTCCTGAACGGCCCTCTGAATACCAGAAAAGGAGGTCCCTAGTTCGATTCCTCGTGGTGACAAATTTTTGCATTTCGAGTTGACGTGCCAAAATTCGCGCAAAATGGAGTTAGAACCAACCAGAACAATCAGAACTCCATTTTGCGCGAATTTTGGAACGTCAACTCGAAATGCAAAAATTTGTCACCAAGAGGAATCGAACTAGGGACCCCTTTTCTGGTATTCAGAGGGCCGTTCAGGAAAAATTAAACATGGTTCTGTGGTCCCCGCATCTGCCCCTATATCATGCAAAAGACCGTTTTCAAAAAGCTTGTCACGCCCTGAAAGACCTTCCTGGTAAGTAGCCGGGTGAGGCGCGTGGAAATTGTGGCTCTGCTGTAGTGCCGGACTTGTGGAAGATCTTGGGATTAAGTCTTTGCTTATTTTTTACTTCCTATTTTGAGCAACTTAACAACAAAGCTTCTGAGAGGGATACCTCATCAACGCTTTTATACATATAGTGCAAACAGTTCCTAAAAAAATTTAGTCGCAGTTTATTCGCGTCTACCACACCTAACACACATAGCACATGCTCCGTGAAAAACAAGCGTGCTTTTTGTTCTAAGAGGTGCAACTAGCCCTAGGGACAAGTTCCAAGCCAGATCAGGTTTTAAATCAAATCAACTTCGAAATAGTGAGGCAGTTATTGGTGAATGTTGCACAACTTTATGTTATCGTCCGGGCTGTTTCAGGATCTACGTAGATGAAAAGTCACCGATCAGGTAGCGATTTTGAAACTCTTTTTGCTATATGGTTCAAAAGTCAAGAAATTGGTCTTTAGAGGGTTTCATACTTACTGCTATAATCGCAGACTACTGCTACTGCTTTATCGCAGCACAAATTCGTTGCGCCACGCTCCGCTTAGCGGAGCTCATCCATGGGATAGGAGACCAAGAACATATAAAAAACATAAAACTTTGGGGGTTAATCAATCCTTTTTTGTAATGCGCCACACCTTCTACATACTTCCATTTGAAATCGTAGTGGCATTTTGAATGTTTGGCCTATACAATGACTAGCGGAGGCCAGCCGATTAACAGGTCAGTATTTTATCCCCCAGACCAGTCAGGTACCAATTAACCGAGGCTGAAAATATGGAAACTCTAGATGGGGTACGACCGAGGATTTGAGCCCGTAACCGTGCGCATAGGAAACAGTGTCATTTGCCCGTATATCACTTCTGCATGCAAGGAAGAGGCACATTAATGATCAACCTCTCAATATTCCGTTGGCCTACTACAAGCAGTTTATAATGAAGCTAAATTTTCATTTTTGGCCGGCTTGCATACTTACCATATAACATAGTGAAGTATTATCCTGATTTCGAAACTCAATCTTGTTTTATCTGAGGAGTCTTCGCCAAAAAGTGGTGTTCACTCAAGAAATCGGTTTATTCGGAATGACGTGTAAGTCAACGGTCTACAAGCAATCAAAGAGATAGCTCTGCTTTTCTCTTAGAAAAAGGGTAGGGATACACCTTCACCTGACCGGAGAATGCAGTGGCTTATGAATGGGATATGCTATCAAACGATAGCTGGTCAAGTCACTCTCTGCAGCTATACTTTTTGTAGTGCTAAATGTAAGCAATGCAAACAGTGTTTGAATTGCTGTAAGCAATGCAACAATTGTTTTTCAGCTTTGTGATGATTTTCCTGCTCAGATCTGTGATGGAATCTTTTTAACTCGGTTTGAAGAATAGTCAATAGATTAGGAGGCAGAGGAAATACTGTGAGCCAGTGTGCACAAAATTTCTAAATGAGTAAATCACTTTCATGTGGTTAGGTCCAAGTCGTGCTCTGTAATTCGGGCGACGGACTTTTGGCTCGTCCGGGCTGACACGCGGCAAATCGCGCGGCGGGCTGCGCGGCGATCCGGACGAGGCAAGTCTTCGCGGGCTTCTGCAGTGGAATTCAACACGTCAAAGCGTGTGCAGATCGCGGATAAAATCCGCAAGGTTCTGCGATTCGCGCGTGGAGATTTGAGGATAGCGATGATGGTAAGGAAACTTCAGTTGGAAAAGATGAGAAGGAACATAGCGATAAGGGCGCTCATGTCCTTGGGGGGGGGGTTGTTGGGGACATTCAGTGAGTGAGCCAATTACTGTGCATGGAATTGAGCCTCAAGGAGGGGAAGGGATTCTGGGGAAAGATGTGAGCAATTGTGTTCTCCCTGGCGTTTCTCCCTCTCCTGGGCTTAGTCCTAGTGTCACCTACCATCGGCCCTATTTTGAATGTTCCCCTAGGAGCATGAGCGCCGCGATCGGCAAGCATATATAGTTGGCACTGAATAACTATATTCGGTAAAAAATCCTAATTTCAGTGTTTTTATTCGCATTGGTGATCGTAGCGACTTTTTTTATGAAGGTTCTCTCTCATCTGTTAGTCCTTAATTTCCTCACCGACACCGCTGCATTCAAATCTCCGCCTGTGGAAAGTTTTCTCAAACCGCAGAACCATGCGGAGTTTATCAGCAATCTGCACACGCTTTGACGTGTTGAATTCCACTGCAGAACCCGCGAAGCCTTGTCCTCGTCCGGATCGCCGCGCATGCCGCCGCGCAATTCGCCGCGTGCCAGCCCGGACGAGCCAAAAGTCCCGCACCTCTGTAATTCTTCAAACTCGATTTTTTATGTTGGAACTACATCCTCAATTAAGTTTATATTAGAACAACGAAGAGTACTCCTCTTTTACAGTCGGCTTCTGTCGTCTCCAAGCTTCAATGGTAGTCTACTGCAGCAGTTACGCCTTTTCGTCAGTGGTAGTGCACCGCTGTCAACTCCTGTGTGGGAAGAATTCAAATCCAGAACAGGACATGCCATTTTGGAGCGCTATGGCATGACTGAAGGTAGCCCTTATACTGTTTGCCAATCAGCTGGGTTGAGTGAATCATGAGCAAATCACTGTACTCGAATTTATCGAACTTCAGCACTATACGATGACCGTTGAACTCATGTTGTGATCTGTGCGCTATGAGTAGGGATTTAGATTGGGAAGTGAAAAACAGATGACGATTCGCTTTGCTTACCTCTACTACTACGCAGAAGTATAGCTGCAGGACATTGACTTGATCAGCTATGCATTTGAGGGCCTGTTACGTCTATAACTCTACCGCCTTTTACAGTAATCGAAACTTTATGCTTCTCTTTTTTTTGGTTAGTAAACCAATGCTGTAGCTTCGACTTCTTGGACAATTTCATTTTCAAAAGTTATCTTGAATCCGTCTTTCCTCCAAGATGAGCATTCCCTTTGTAATCGATGGGCACTGCTTCCAAAATGGCTTCAATCAAGCTAGAGAGTGACAGTAGTGACCTTCAGCTGTTGTGTTCGCAGGTCGTTTTGGACACTTCATGGACGGCAATTTCGACAACAGTTTTCCGGCTTATTAAATCTCACCCCAATGGTTGTAAAAAGACAGAAAAAAGACAGAAAAAAGACAGCTCGTGTAGCACTTCGGCCCTTTTTTCTTCCCAGGGATTGCCGTCGTTGACGGAGTTGCTCAGCAAAGCTCGGCACTAGCTCGCACTACACAAATCCCCTCAAAACTAGCTTTTTAGTAAGGTCGTTATGGTACACGATCCTTCGAAGACCCCATTGAGCTCGACCAGTGCACCATGTTTCCGGGGCAAATTTTCTGATGCCGTCCACGTAGGTGGCCACTATGAAGATTTTCTTATAGAATGAAATGCGCTCTTCAATACTAAGTTGGGACCATTCGGTTTGAATTGAGCAAAGTGTGATTAAATCCATCTGAAAGTGGAGACAAAATGTCTTTTTTATTGCCCCCCCCCCTGTAGTGCTTTCATGACGGACGGTGCGCTGGCTGCTGAGCAGTACTTGACAACCGCTCACTCCGAAAGCATTGCACCCACTAGTTTAGATGGTTATTTGGACATTGCCAGCAGCGGCACAACTGAAGCAACTCGTAGGAGCATGGATTGGCACGGTGTCATCAAACGTGTCAGCAAACTCGTCCTCCATCTTGGCTTAGTCTGTGAGCGAAAATCAACGGCCACACGAAGGGGTCTTGCTTATCATTTCTTGACGAATTCCCCGTTCTTTTTTTCGCCACTGCCGTACGAGCTCCCCACTTCCCTTCCTAACCCTTCTACAACCTGCATTGCCTTAACATTACCAATTTATCTGAGAGAAGTTGACTGAAATAAGGCATGGCAGGGATATGGTGACAAGGATGAGCCTTGGGAGCACAGTTATGCAACAGTGAACAGGATTCTTCGCTGCTAGGTCAGATTCTTTATAGGTCTTGGCTATAATTGTCGGGTGTCTCGTTTTCATGCTCTTCTTTCTGCTGATAGCTTCGAATTTAACGGCAGTTCTAGTCCTCACTTGCTGGCTGTCTAAGTTTTGCGAAAATCCGTAGTCGTGCTCCAACGATGAATCAGGTCGTTTTTCTGACCGAGAAGCAGGGCACACTCGTTGATAGGAAACGAAAGACGCACGACGACGACGCAGACACAGACACATAGGAAAGACGAAGCGGGTAGGGAAGTCAAACGGCACGCGGATACTGGTAGAGTAACATGGTGAAACTTATGGAAGGCTTAGCATGCACTACGAACGGTACTTACTCGAAGAAGGGGAGTGTTCGCGGTTGAGCGGATCTTCAATCCTCAACTTGCAAGCATAACACTGTGCCGGCGCACAGATCGAATTTGGTGCCAATTTGACGCCAAGCCAATTAGCCCAACTTATATCTGATGAGCATAGAGCAGCAATCTCTCTAATTTGAACTCAGCACTTTAAGCTTTCTTTGAAAAGATTGAAATAGAATGTCGTCAGATGATATTCGAGAAGTAGTTGAGGTTTCGTGCAACCTACATTCGGAGGTCATGTCAGGGGCTACCAAAACGACTAAGTATGAATTTTCCTCGTTTTTCAAGAAATCGTTAAACGTTGTATTAGTTTTGAATTCTTGTTGAAAATGGGCAAATATATTTTGTCACCATATTTCTGCGGTTAACCGTTTAGACTGTTTCCCATCGCACTCTCAGCTTCAACTGAGATATTTAGAGTACATCCTCGTTGTTTACTTTTGCTGTACACTTCGGTTAGGAACGTTGTACACCTAAGGGCTTTGTGACGGCTAATGCCTAAGCCATTGTTTCCATTGGTTCAAGGATGTTTTTCAAACCAAGACCACAGGTAGCCCTTAGCCGTATGGGTCACCGCTCGATAGTTCGGTTGCCATTGCGTCCTGAGAGCATCTGCCCTGCCACCATTCTATAGAGGAAATGCTGTTTGTCCTAGAGGCGGACTTTGCGATGAAAAGGTAGCCCATTGGAAATTAAGTTAGAGATGGTCAGTGATGTACAAAAGAAGAAAAAACCGAGAAAAATGGCCTAGAACCCGAGAAATGGGACCCCTTCCTTGCCCGTTGATTTGCGCATTGATGCGACTCTCATCGGTGCTGCCCTCTTCAACGCTAACGCTCTCTCTGCTAACGGCTAGAGAATCAGACACGAGACGACGTGAGAAAGGGCGTACCGGCCAATAGTGCGCCAACTAAACCGTGGGGTAGGCCATGCTAGATCACCTAGGGCATATCCTTCGTTGCGAATTGCGTGTCGTGCACCATTAGGAGGTCCGCCTTTTCCACTATGTAAGTCCCCCCTTTTGACCATCGTCCTTATCCTGGAATCATTCTTTAACTTCCTGCCTTCGATAGTGATTGTTTTTTGCTATTCATTCGTCTAACCACCATTATTAAGCCCAAGTCATCTGTTCACATCCATACGACGATCGTAGACCTGGGAGTGTTGGAAAACCGGTCGGAGATACGAAGGTGTGTTTACCCTGATATAGAGTTTGTTGCTAAAAATAGCTTACTAATACTATTCAAGCTCCGGATAAATAAAGCTGGTGGAATCGAAATACAGGGCTCATCGCTTTTTGCTGGTTATTGGAAAAATCCAACGAAAACTGCTCAGGAGTTCACTGCTGATAAGTACTTCATCACCGGTGACTTGGGTGCTGTCGATGAAGATGGTAGGTAACACTTCTCTGAACAGTTCTTTTTTTGCTTTTGTTCGGGAACAGCGCAGACGCTGTAATAATAGCAAATCATAGGAATCATTAGGATGTTCCAGTACTCACTCAGTTATGAGTCCTCTTGTGTCTGAGGGCCAATGAAGGATAAGGGTTAGATATGGTAGACATAATGCTAAGAAATGATCTCTCGGGCCGGTGTCAGACTTTGCGAATCTTGCAGTTCGCTAGCGAATCGCTGGATACGAGCGTTGCACCAGCGAATCGAGCTGTGTACCAGCGGATCGAACGATGTACCAGCGACTCAACACTGTTTGAAAGTGGCGGGATCTCTTTGAACGTTGGATCTCACCACTTTCTTGGGCTCACGAGGGCATGAGAGAGTGAGAGGGCATGAGAGCTCGGGAAAGTGGCGAGAGTCAACGTGCAAACGAGAGGGAGTCCGCCACTTTCAAACAGTGTCGAGTCGCTGGTACATCGTTCGATCCGCTGGTACACAGCTTCGATCCGCTGGTACACAGCTCGATTCGCTGGTGCAACGCTCGTATCAAGCACTGGATTCGCAAAGTCTGACACCGGCCTCACAAGGGTCTTCCCCGTCAGTCCTGGTTTAAGAAAAAGAATGATGTATTAGAATGAGGGGGGAGGGAAGGAAGGGATGAGTGAATGAGTGAACGAAACGGGTTGACTAGTGTCGTGAAGAATTTAACACTCAAGGAGTCTTGGCGGTAGTATTGAGGCTATCCACAAAGTTTTCGCCTTGTAGTAAGGTAATGAAAAAATGGAATTTGTAGTGCAAGTCTTGTGTAAGGTTGTCCCATAAGTAGTGTATTTTTATTCAAACAAGAAGTTTTCTAAGAATGCTCCGTGATTTCATATCAATTCTATACCGTTTGGAAAAGAATGGTCTGCTCTACAAAATGCTATGTTTCGCTACCACATTCGTGCAAGAATCTTTAATTTTTGGCCTGCGAAATGGGAGGTCCCGCCGAAAAATTGACCAAACCGACAACTATCTCTAACTTTATCTTCCCTTGGGAGAAATCAATCAATGATGTACCCTCTACTTATACATGACCTCTTCTGAACATTACACTATTAGGTTTCCCAACAAGTCGCGTCGTTCCATTTCCAGACCTGGTTTTTCAACCAGAACTCGACGGTCAAGCACCATCACTTGAATCTAGCCCAAAATTTTTACAGCCGAGACATTGAAAAACTAGTGCAATGTTAAGAACAAGTCATGACTAAGTGAGTCGGGAATATATGCCTGGTTGATTCTCTCCTCGTCTTCGCGAGGACATTTTTATTGGAATATTTCTGGTTATTTTTCCTGGACGAGCACTTAATCGCGCAGGCTCAAAATTCGAACCTATCAGCGAAGAAATGAAAAAAACATATAGATTGATGACAGAAAAGGTGCTCGCTCCTCGATTATTCCCATTAATAAAAAACAATGGTTGATCAGAGGAATAATCTCAGTTCAAAAGTAGGCTATGGCTTATCGATCAGCCAGAAAAACCAATTTGAAAAGAAGTACGACAGAGCTCTTTCGACAACCTAGCAGTGACACGTATAGAAGAGGTCCTGCATAAGTAGACGGTACATTATTGATTTATCCTAGGAGAAAATAGAGTTATAGCTGGTTGTCGGTTTAGGTAATTTTCGTCGATGAACTTCCCAAGTTGCAGTCTAAGTTTGAAAAAGCTCTGCACCGAATGTGGAAGCGAGATATAGCTTCTTGTGAAACAGACAATTCCTTTTGAATGATGTATAACTGATATGAAATCATGGAACTTTCGCAGAAAATGTTTTCTCGAATAAAAACTACACTACACTACTTATGAGAGCCTAATATTTGTTTATATTAATTAGTGCTTATTGATCGTTACAAGAGAAACTAACAAGATTGGAATTGGTTAGGTTTCCTGCACATACTCGGTCGTGGCAAGGACCTCATTATTACTGGCGGATTCAATGTCTATGCCAAGGAAATCGAGGATCGTATCGATAGACTTCCGGATATCGGAGAATCGGCTATCATTGGTGCTGATATTTTACTACAATATTTTCTGTCTTCGGTACAAAACATCCATTAACTGGTAGGTGTACCACACAAGGATCTCGGCGAAGTAGTTGTTGCTGTGGTCAAGGTGAATAGCTCGAAGCCAATAAATGAAGAAGAAAAGGAGCGAGAAATCATCTCTTCATTGAAGGATGTGCTCGTCAAATACAAGGTGATGTGTTCAGAGCGTATATCGACATCTGCGTTCTTTGAGTGGGATACTGTAGCGAGCAAAACCAAGCTTACGATTAGGAACAAGCTCATGTTAGGGGAGACGACCAATCTGATCGCTGACTAGCTCAGTGTGCCACGTATCATTAGAGGGAGACAGAGTTAGAAGAATTTAGTGCGTTTCATAATTATAAGGTCACCCTAAAATTTTGGATTTCCAGGACAAGCAGAGAGAGTGTCCTTTTGTAGTATTGCAGCATGTTCCTCACATGGAAAAATACCGGACTGCAGATTTCTCGGCGGGAGAAGCTTTTCTTTTACCTTTTTGTAATTATTTTTCGATTTTTGCACCGTTTCATAATATAAGGTCACCCTGTGAAAAAATACTACATTATCGGAAACAACCAACCTGCCTGTGAAATTGAATGTTTGTTACAAACACACCCAGTAGCTAAATTTATGGAATGTTTCGTACTCGCCTTTTGAAGAAAAGGTAAAGTTTATGCATTTCATGGTGCTTGGCACGGTTCGCGAGTCTTTCCAAAGCATTTCGGACAGTCATTAGCACTGCTCATGGATAATTGAAAAGCTCCTACGTCTCCAGATATTCTACAAATTTTGAACATCCACAAAAAGGTTTCTATAAATGATTAGAGAAGAGTTATGAGGGCTGTCCCAAACAGTATTTCCGCTTGAAATCGGCGTCGTGCCTAATTTAATGTTTCTATCTTGAAAAATATGAACTGGAGAGCGGTGAAATGATGCAGCAACATTACCAGGAAAGCAACAAAGATGGTCCGAAGGCTCACTGGCCATTGCAAGGTGGCACAACTTCAACCCGTAAAGTTGAACTTAGAGAGAGATTGAACAAAGTTGAGCCTGCGCCACAATCGCACCACACAGCAAGATAATTTCCAGTAAAGTTGGTATTTTTCGGACAAAACTGGTTTATACAAACAGATCCTGCGGATATAAACACTTTTGAAGTGACTTGCGAAGGTGGCCGATTCACTTCAGCGCTTGCAATTTTAGTTAAGGAGATGTGAAAGGTGTGGGTGCTTTTTGTAATGATGTTGTGTCAAAATTTCGCTTCCATGAACTGCATAATGGACTCCAAAGATTAGCATAGAGCCTTGCGAGGACATCTGACCTCTTCCTTGAGCTGATGAAGTCGGCTAGCCTACGTAGTCATACAGAACAGCACAGGTACCCATGTAGGTCACTTCAACCAGAAGCAGCATTTCTCTCGAAACCAGATGAACTGAACAGATTATTCTGAAGTTCTAGTCGTATTTTAGTAGAATATCTAGGGAGCATCTTCGTCACCAGTAAAAAACTACACAAGAGCGTGTACAAGCAACCCTTGAACACGGAAGTGAATCGATGGTGATCTGCCTTGGAATCTCAATTCCGGTAGGCCACGGAGACTATTCAATGTTGCCCTTGATAAAGGAGGAACCATACATTATTATGTCTATTTTATCTGTCATTAA